GTTAGAGACACAGAGAAGTCATAAAAATATCCAGAATAAGCAATTTATGAGAAGGCTATTAGCATTAATGTGATACAGATACTCCTACTTAAAGAGGGCTAGCCAACTGGATGCCAATTGTCTGTTGAGTGATTTGGCTAGACTCTAAAGAACTGGGCCACAGCTTCATAGACAGTTGATGCTATCTATGTACCTAGTATGGGTTAGGTCACTGTGGATTAAATCCTGCTGGCTAAATTCACACAAGACTGAATGGCACTCCAGATCCCACCCAGTAGGGTATATTTATGCAGAGATTTACATAATCCCCAGGTCTCTGGAAAGGTGGTTTGGTGAGCAACATACTAGGTGAAAAATATAAACCATAGTGATCTTAATTGACAGTGCTGGTCTGTTATCATTGAATAATTCACCATATTCACTATATAGATAAATTTGCTTAGAGGGGTGTAAGATTTAACCCTTCCCTGTCAGGGCACCTTATACTTTGCTGTTCCTGGAAATGATCTGGTATCTTGACTTTTTTTCTCTCTCTCTGTCTCTCTTTCTTTAAATACTTGCAGACTCTATCCTGACTTCTTATATATCTATAACTATCTATAACTTCTTCAGAGTTCAATAAAGTTGATAAGGCTATAGTATCTTCACATTATTTTATTCCTGTTGGATGTTACCGAAAATATTCTTTAGTTTCTTGTTGGAGTTTTAAGAGACACTCCCATCCCACTCAGACAATAATTATTGTAGTCTTAGGTGATCATCTTAACATGACCCTGTTTCCAAATTTAGGGCCACTTCATTTTATCTCTCTTTGCCCTCAACCCTGGGAAAACTCTTTGTTTGCTTGTTTTCTCCCAGCCTGTCTATTACTCTACAGTCCTGGTGTGGCACTTTAGGATAAACATTGGACTGCTAACCAGAAGTTTGGTGGTTCAAACCCACCAGCCACTTCTTGGAACCGATTTGACGACACATAACAGCAACATTCACTACTCTTAAGGATCCCTGGTGGCACTATGGGTAAGATGTTAGACTGTTAATTTCAAAGCCAGCCGTTCAGACACACCAACCACTTCTCAGGAGTGGAGGTTTACATGAAGGTCTGCAGTCTTCGAAACACTATTATAAAGGCTTGGAATCAACTCAGTAACTGAGTTTTTGGTGTTTTTGTTTTGTTTTGGATCCTCTACTCTTGTAGAGGATGTAAGTTTGGCAGGAGCGTACCTTAGGCTTTCCCCTTGCTGATTCTGAGCTCAGGCAGATAGATGCATGTGCTTTGAAAACATGAGAGAACCTAGAGGTACCCAAGCTCCTTATCAGTGATCACTACCACATGTCCTTTTAGCATGCTTGACCAGAGTCCTGAACAGTTTTATTTTTGTCCAGTTTTCAGGTGCATCAGCTGTGACTTGCTTCCTCCACCACATATTCTCATATTCAAGTTTCCTCCCAATACCCAAAAGCATAGTGTTCCTATCGAACCTTTTATAAGCTGAAATAGTGTAGCATGAAGAAACAATTCCATTCATTAATATGATAAAGATTTTTGAGCTTTCCCAGACCCAAATAGTAACCATTCAGGTAACATAAAAACCCCAAATAGCATGAAGATACTGAAAAAGAAGGAATGAAATGAATACACAACCCATATAAACTAGAAGGTAATATACGTACAGTATAGATACCATGGAAGAAACTTAGGAACACTACTCGTAGTGGTCTGGGTGTGCAAGGATTCTTGAAGGGCTAGTTGCAAAAAAAAGGCTGAAATCAAGTTGCGCTTTTCTCCTTTTGTTTGTGAAAGTTAAAATGCTCTTCAAATTTGTTAGCAATATCAGGTAACAAAGTAGGTCATTCACGATAGCAAAGTGGTATAAAGCAAACTTTTGAAAAGTCGGACTTATCGGTACATATATGTCCAATATCCATTGATCACCATATACATTGCTCATGTCTTTTAAGCATGATTCCTCTTCTTGGACTGCCTGTCTCCTTTCCTTGTCCCTTTCTTGTGTTTGTTTTTTTTTAATGTTTTATTGTGAATTATATGATAGTTTACATGAGAGAACTTTAGTCTTACATTCATTCCATCGTATATCATTTCATTGCCATGGTTCCAGTCCCCTCCATGCATCATCAACCAACCAAAGGGTATATCCCAGAAACCCACCCCCTACACTGCCCCTTCCTCCCCCCAGTTTTCAGCCCACAGTCCCTTTCCCTCTCTGGATCTAAGGTCCCCAGCCGCTTCATCACTCCATGTCATCATCTCTGTCTATATCTCAGGCATCTCTATTTCTCTGGGTAGGGTTCCGCTCTCGGTTCTTCTCCGTTGATGGTCCCAGGAACCTCCCCACCTAGACTGGAGAATTAATCACTCCCTTCCTTGTTTCAAAACATCTACCTTTGCATTTCCTATCCTCATAATCCGTCCTGATAGGCATTATTCACTACAGTTTCACGAGTTACCCATCTGTATTTCCTTTCATCAGCTCCGCCCAGACAGATTGAATAGTACC